CCAGGTGGTGTTGTGTTCCACTGGGTCTTGTCTAGCTGGGGATCTTCCTAAAGGAAGATGCTGAGCCACAATTTCAGAAGAATACAAACCCAAAGATATTCTCCATCATCTGACACTCTACAAACGTCTAAGCAGTTCTCATCCGGTAATCAAGCCAGTTATGCTTGTGCTTCATATTCAAACCTTCCAAGCCCCTGGCCTCTTTGAGGGTGTTCATACTTTGCGGCAGCGTCCACCAGCGTCCCGAGCGTCCGGCAACATCAGCGATTAGGAATGTATAGATATTACTCTATCGTCCGCCAGCGGCTACCAGCATCTGCAAGCGTCCACTAGCGGTCTGAGGGCTAGGGCAGTACAAGTATCGATCTAGCGTCCGACAGCGTCTGCCAGCGTCTACGAGCGACCGTAGCGTCGTGGAGACTATGAAGCGGTAGGAGGGTAGCAGGCAGCTGGCAGGATAGCAGGACAGCTAATACCCTCCTATCGCCCCATACTCTCTACCAGCCGCTTGTCGCTGGTAGACACTCGATCGATGCCTATACTTCCCTAGCCCTCGAGACCATACTGCTCGCTGGCAGACACTACATCGATATCTCCACTCCCCTAGTGGCCGACGCTGCCGGACCTTCCGAACGCTGGTAGACGCTAGTGGTTGCTGGTGGACGCTGCCGTAAAGTATGAACGCAGCAGCCTCACCCATATTTCCCTTTTTTAACTCACCTGCCCCCACAAATCCTATCCAGCCTCAACGTGGCGTGGGGGTGAACGGTTTGGACTGTTCCAAACCGTACCAATGCGGAGGGTGCCACGTCAGAGCCTGGCGAGCTACGCGTGGTTAAATTTCTTCTCGCCGAAAACAGTAATAATTATGGGCCTCATTCCCCTGAACCTGAGGGAACCACCGACAGGGCGACGTCGGCTGGGACCGCTCGGGCGAGGCTGCAAGAATCACAGGGCCAACGGAGATTTGAGTCACCTAGGACTAAGATAACGACTTGTGCTTTCTGTGCACGGACGCTTGCA